GATGTATTGGTGAATAACGCGGGAATCGTTGGCTTAACTGATATCGAAGAGAGTGGTGTCGATGTGAAAGTGAAGGACATATTGGAGACAAACGTTCACTCAGTGGTACTGTTGTGTCATTTGGCTGTTCCTCATCTCATCCAAAGCGTCGGCAATGTCGTGAGTGTGTCGAGTGTGGCCTCAACTAAACCGGTCAGTCATTACTCACCAATTGGTTTAGCCATCCATCTCATTGTCTCATTGTATTGTATTCATTGTGATAGCATTCAACATTTTTTGGGTACAAACTTTAATCCATATTTAATTGAAATTGTGATTAAGGTTTGTGTTTGAATTAAGGTATTGTATGGCAAAGAGCTGTGTGGATATTCTCACTAAATGTCTGGCCATTGATTTGGGCCCAAAGGGTGTTCGTGTGAATGCCGTGAAGTGAGTCTCAAAATACAATACTTTAGACATTCAATGATTTTAATGCCATTAAACGCAGTCCAGCGGTGATTAAGACAAACATATTTGAGGCCGGATTTGGGTTAGACGTGGAGACAACACAACAAGTCATTTACAGAGACTGTGAACAAACATATCCTCTGCAGAGACCAGGAAATCCAGAAGAAGTGGCCGAAGCCATAGCCTTCTTGTCCTCAGACGAGGCCTCTTTCATTAGCGGCGCTACGCTTGAAGTGGACGGCGGCTCGATGTGGACCTCCCGGGGCGCCAACCCTAACAATAACCTTTAGGTCTTGTTACTGTATGAATTTACTGAACAATCAAATGACATATTTTTGATTTATTTGATCAATAAAGTGAATTCATGTTTAAGAATCGTTTTTTATTTACATTCCTGTTTAATATTTATATAATTATAAACTTAATACACATTTTATTTATTTATTTTCTTAGATTTAGATTTTGTTTGGCTTTCAACATATTATAACTTATGATTATTTTGTTCTGTTATTAAATATATAAATAATTCAAAAGCATATTAAATGATAAAACACTTAATAGTCGTGCCATTCCTCAGTCAAAGACGTCAAATATTTTCTTCCTTTATCTGACTATTGAAACAAATAATAGATATATTTAATGAGCGAAATGTTAGTAAAATATATACTTTAATCCACTTTAGCATCGGCTGAAACTCATTCTTCCAAAAATCTTCTCGAAATCGTTTGGTTTCGCCGTTAAATCCAACCAACTATTCAGTCAAATGACCGATTCATTGATAAGTCATTTATATTATAAGTTATAACTGTAATATATCTAATGTTTCAATGCTTACCGATGCACAGTTCTGAGTTACAAATGATTACAAATAAATAATAATCAGTTTTCATTCATTTCATTATATTCAAAGTTAATCATACCCTTGGATCGACCTATAGTTAGAAACAAATGATTAAACATTAGTGATAGCAACTTTTCATTAAAAATATTTAACTTATTACCTGGCACATCTTTTAATTTGTTGAATATTGGGAATCATTCATTTATAGATTTAATTTAAATTTAATGTTAATAAAAATATTTGAAAAATATTTAAGTAATATAATTCTAAGACTTACCATCTATTTGTTTTGATGTGGATTTATATTCATATAATAAAGATTTATTAAAGATGTATTAAATGTGTTATTTAATTAGATTTTAAATACTTGTATAAAACTATACCTTTCTTCCCTATTGAAACAAACAAAAAGGTAAATATTAAACAAACTTTTGAAAAACTTTATTAAATAGATTAGAAAATGTTTACACTGACCAGATTCATCTGTTTGCGTAATAAATGAAATATATATTTAATATGAAAAGTGTTATTTAAAACATTTAGGAAACTAACCCCTCTTTTTAATTTAGTATCCGACCAATCACTCATTGAGTCCTTTGATAAATCCATTCGTGAGTCGATTTCTTATAAATATTATATAAAAAACAATTTCTTAATGCTTAAAACAGATTTGTTACTTATGGTATGTTACTATATTACTCAAAATTTTTACTTTAAATTCTATTATTATAACTTAATTTTAGTTATTGGTTCATTATGAATAATTTATTTGTATGAATCTATAAATCATTTGAAAGTTTTAGAAAAATTAACTTTATTCAAAATAGCATTCAAATGATATATTCAAGCTTACCTTTATTTGCATTTGTATTACATATGATTAAAATGAGTGAAAATAATAAAGAAATTAAATAAGATTTTACTGAGAAATTCATAACTTCTATAAAACTTTTAATATCAACAAAATCTTTTAATAAAATTATATGATATTATCAAATCTGATTAACAATGAAACTATGATAACGAATGCAATGGCAAACGTCGACTGGATTTCCTATAAAACTTCGGTGAGTCAGACGACGAGTATATTTATATGAATATGAGATCCGTTATGACATCCGCAGATCAGGTCTACCATAAGATTACAGGTATGATATAATACCTATGCTATCAAATCAAATCGTGTGTAATAGTATTGTGTCAGACGACGAGTATATTTATATGAATATGAGATCCGTTATGACATCCGCAGATCAGGTCTACCATAAGATTACAGGTATGATATAATACCTATGCTATCAAATCAAATCGTGTGTAATAGTATTGGTTTGAAATGACAATTCAGTCAATACAATGCCCACGCCTTCGGATGAATTTCTTTAATTTCATTGTGAATATAGTTTTGAAAATAAGATAATTTAGTCATTCAAAGAGTAACGGATCCACTAGCTTTGATACATTCATAATTTATTTCAATTATTATATATTATTTTCTATTATTTTCTATATATAGCCAACGATTTATAGGATTTTTAGAGACAGTATAAATAATGATGGGTTAATGCTCTAAGAATTGATTGAATAAAAATGTATTTGTACTTTCTTGTTATTTTTGAAGATTTCTAATCAATTCAATAGTATTTTGTAAAAATAATTCTGTTTTCATTTTCCCTTCATATAAGACAAAAAACCTATAACAAAATAATATTTTTAATTTATTTTTCCAATATAACAATCAAGTAATACTTTGGGATTACGTAAGATTTGGTTATCACTGATGTAATGGCATTTGGTATAGAAATACAAATTTGGAAACAATATCGCCATGTATTGGATGTCATATTTTCTATTATTATTATTAAAGCTAATAAATATGATTTCTAAAAAGATTTCATTTCAGTTCACATTTCCATTTTTAATCAAAAAAATTAATTACTTTATTTGTTTTTCAATTTCATTACAGAATTATACATATAACTTATTTAAAACTAATAAAAAATAATATGATGTAGTTTTTATATGTTTGACGTAAACACAGTTCATAAGCAATGAGTGGAGTTTTAGACGGACATGGGATCAATTTAATGTCATTTCATGAAATTAGACATAAATAATACACTAATAATTTGAATAGAAGTTAATTAAAGGTTTTATGACTTAAAAATTGAATATAGAATTGAAAGAAAATATTTATTATAAACTGAATTCATTCTTGAAATCAAGTCTTTCTGTATAAACAAATACTGTACAATCAATTAATGCAATATTTATGATTAAATATGTATAATCAAAATGAATTCAATAATCACTGCATAATATTTCGTTTAATTATAATTTCATTTAATTTACAAAATGAGATAAATTTGGGCACAAAATCACTAATCTTTAGGACAAAGAGTTGCTTATCTGCGACGAGACCTACGACTTGAACTTCTGGTGTGTGGTCTACCGGTGCCTCTTCTGCTTCGGGATCGAGTTCTACCCCTTCGCTCCTTTTCCCTCTGTCTTCTCCTCTCATACCTCTCTCGGGTCTCTTCTCTCTGTCTTCGGAGTCGTCTGAGGCGTCGTTCCCTTCGGAACAGCCGTCGGATTCGCATTCTTCGCCGGTATTCTGTCACCTGAATGCTGTCCACCGATGCTGTGTCTGAACTTTCACTGCCGGAGCCACTGCTATGAGATGTTCCCGATTCAGACGCATTAGCAGTAGATGTCTGTCCTGAACCACTAATTCCCGCCTCCGATCCCTTAGTAGTCTTATCATCAGAAACTGTATGTTTGTGTTGGCTATCACTGGAGCTCTGAGACGAGGCTGAAGGAGTGGTAGGAATGGGATGGCCGTCGACAGAGACTCGGTGTGGACGCCATATGCTTTGGGAACCGGAGGTCTTATTAGACAAGTCATTGCTGAGTGGAATCGATTCGTACTTCTCTTTGGACCTGAAGTTGTGTCTCATTTGTTGTATGGGTTTCCGACAGACGGGACACTCGCCGTGAGTTCGCATCCATTCCTGTAAACACTGGAAGCAGAACTCGTGTCTACAG